AAGACACCGTCCACACCAGCTGGTCCAGCCCCCACTTCAGTCGGGCGGGGAGCACGGCCCACCGGCCCAGGCTCCTGGTAGTGTGCGAGCCCAGGGCACTGGCTGCCTGCCAGGCTCCTTGCAGTGAACCGAGTGTTTCCACTGGGCTCTGCTGATGGCTGCTTCCCCATCGTAAAACCGGGAGTCATGTTCTTGAAATGACTTTGTTATTTAGCTGATTCATTACTTTGTTCCCCACAGGACTGCAGTGGCTGGGGGAATGGACTCCACGTGGGTGTGGGGAACCCAGCACGTGGGCCATCTTCTGGTGCCTTGCTAGGTGCACTGGCAGGGAGCCGGGCTGGAAGCAGAGCGCCAGAACATAACTGACTGATGTGGGATGCTGGTGTCACACACGGGGCATTAACTTGCCGTGCTGTAACACCTGCCCCACTGATTTTTGTTTCTTCATAAAAATGATTTTAAGATTTCCAGGCCAAATTCTAAAAATCTTTTGATTCTATATGTTTAGTGTGTGTATATTACTTTTTTTAAAGATTTATTTGAGGGCCTGGTGTGGTAGCCTAGTAGTTAAATCCTAACCTTGTGACCTTCAGGCTCCCATGTGGGCGGCAGTTCATGTCCCAGCTGCTCCACTTCCCACCCAGCTCCCTGCTTGAGGCCTGGGAAAGCAGTCGAGGACGGCCCAAAGCCTTGGGACCCTGCACCCACGTGGGAGACCTGGAAGAAGTTCCTGGCTCCTGGCTTTGGATTGGCTTAGCTCCGGCCGTTGCAGCCACCTGGGAAGTGAATTAGCAGACAGAAGATCTTTATCTCCTTTCTCTAAATCTGCCTTTCCAGTAAACAAAACAAACAAAAACTCAAAGATCTATTTGAAAGGTAGAATTAGAGGGAGAAGCAGTGAGGGATTTTCTGGTCTGCCACTTCGCTCCCCACAGGGCCAGGGCAGGCAGGGCTGAGCCAGGCCAAATCCAGCAGCTGCACCCATGTCTCCATGTAGGTGCAGGGGCCCAGGCGCTTTCACGGGGACATCAACAGGGAGCTGCATTGGAAGAGGAGCAGCTGAGACTTGAACCAGCACCCGTATGGGCTGGCAGCACTGCAGGCAGCAGCTTAACCTGGCTACACCACGGTGTGAGACTCACTGTGTGTACCTTTAAATGCTTTGACTTTTCACAGCATGATTCCCGCCAAGTGCCTTCAGAAAGGGGCTGAGGTCTCAAACCCCACGGTTGAAGGACTGATCAGCTCACTGTTGGAAAGGTGTGACTTGCAGGAGGTAAGAGGGGCAGCCACGGGCCCTGAGAACGGCAGGGTGGGCGCCCAGCCCTGCGCTGCAGTCCCACAGCCCCACCCCCCTTCAGTTTCAGACCTGCCTGGTCCGGCACTGCAAGCATGCCTACGGCTGTGCCCTGGTCCACACTTCCGGCTGGAAAGTGGTCTACTCGGGGGACACCATGCCCTGCGAGGCCCTGGTCCAGATGGGTGAGTTGAGCCAGGAACAGGCAGGCCTGAGGTTGCTGTGGAGTCCGTGCCGCTGCGTGCAGGGCAGCGGGGGGCTGACTGCGACCCCACCTGCCATCCCTGCTGTGGGCCTGCAGCACTGAGGGGTGGGGCTGGGCCGGCCAGGGCCTGATGCCCGTGCTTCCCGCAGGGAAGGACGCTAACCTCCTGATCCACGAGGCCACCCTGGAGGACGGGCTCGAGGAGGAGGCCGTGGAGAAGACGCACAGGTAGCAGAGGCCGGCCGGCTCCCACCCTGGGCCGTGCTGTTTCTGAACCCGTTGCCATTCTTGTGGGCCTCGTATCCTGGCTTTCTCCAGGACAGTTCCAGGATGAGGCAGGGCTGGGGATGGACTCCGGGGGCTGCCTTGCCAGCGAGCTTTGCCCAGTTAACAGGTGCGCTCCCTGAAGACGGGGGTGGAAGGCAGCACAGCTGGGGCTCGGTTCTGAGCTCGAGAGAAGGGTGAGGCCCTGGCAGGGCTGCTGCCAGCGGAGGGCTGCACCTGCCTTCCCTGGGCCCCGAGCAAGGAGCAGGCCCGTGCCTGTCCCATGGCTCAGTCGCCTGTGCCGTGTGCCCCATCCGCAGCACCACCTCCCAGGCCATTGGTGTGGGGATGCGCATGAAGGCCCAGTTCATCATGCTGAACCACTTCAGTCAGCGCTACGCCAAGATCCCGCTCTTCAGCCCCGACTTCAACGACAAAGTGGGCATTGCCTTTGACCACATGAAGGTGTGTGTGGGTCAGGAGCTGCATGTGGGCCGTGTAGGGTCGTGGCCGGCCACAACAGGGTCCTCGCACGCTGTCCAGGGTGCTCCATGAGGCTCTTTTCCTGATCCCCTGGCCCAGACGATGCCCTGGGCCGGATGCGGGGCAGCCTGTCTGTCAGATACCTTCCAGATGTCACTTTCAGGGCCATTAACATTTTGTCAGGCCTGGAGCACTCAGTCACCACCTGTGTGATAGGTGGCTGGCCTCTCCCAAGGGGAGGTGGCCTGCAGGGTGAGGGGACGGGGCCTAAGAGACAGTGTCACTGCTGTCAGGGCCTGGACTGCCTGCCTCGCCATCTGTGGCAGAGCGGCAGTAAGGAGCCCGCCCTGTTCCTCAGAGGGCTCCCTTCCCTCCCCATGGCATCCTGGTTTGTTTCTCCGCGGGGCTGTGGTCAGCTGGCCTGAGGGAGAGTGAGGGAGGGGCTGGTCTGTGTGCTGCATCATCTGTCTGCCCCCGCACCCAGGTCTGTTTTGGAGACTTTGCGACAGTGCCCAAGCTGATCCCCTCGCTGAAGGCGCTGTTTGCCGGCGACATCGAGGAGATGGAGGAGCGCAGGGAAAAGCGGGAGCTGCGGCTGGTGCGGGCGGCGCTCCTGTCCCAGGAGCAGGACGGGGAGGCCCAGCAGAAACGGGCCCGCTCCGAGGAGCCACGGAGCCCACAGAGCAAGAAGGTCCGGGCCTAGAAAAGCATCCCACGTAGCCTTGAACCTGCAGGCCGGATGTCCTCCTGCCTGCACACGGCACCTGCTGCTCCTGCTGCCCTGGTGAGCACCAGGGAGCACAGCCCCACGTATCTGCTGGATGCCTCCTGCAATGAGGGCCTGGCCCGGCTGCAGCACAGGAGTCTGCTCAGGGGAGAAGCAAGTGCAACTGTGAGTCCAGCGTCAGTCCTGCGGCAGCTGAGGGCTGCTCCCCTCACCGATGCCAGCCAGGTGCTTCCCTGTGCCCACCAGACATGCGCAAGTGACCGGGAACAGCACAATAAAGATGGAGTTTGGAACCCAAATGCTTCCGCTTCGTTCTGGTGCTGCCTCAGAGTGTGGTCCTGGGAGAGCTGGGGACCCCGTGTGCCCAAGGAAGCCCACTCCCATGCAGTGAGGACCTGTGCGGCAGCTGCTTGGCATGGCGTGGCCTCGCTGCTGGGGAGAGCTGGGCTGGCAGTGCCTCAAGGCTCGCAAGTCTTCCCGGTGTTGTGGCTCAGAGTGGAGACGCCTGCCTTGCTCCGTGCTGCCCCTTGAACGTGTTGAGAACATCGCCAGGGCTGGCTCCTCTCCGCTTCCACGCTCATGTACAGATTGCACTGTAGGATTTATTGCTGGAATATGGAAAGAGCTCTGGAAACTTCAGTGGTGAGAGGACAGCCCGTGCCAGGGCCTTGCCGCGGTGGTCCCCTCTGGCCTCCCCTGATGCATCCCCATTGGACCACGTAGGCCTTGTGGCTGCCAGAGAGCATGTGCCAAGCTCAGGGATAATAACTCTATTTTAATAACATGACTTTGGACAACAGGGTTTTTTTTTTTTTTTGTACATATATTTAAAGATAACTTTCAACCTCACCCCTCCCCGGCTCCTTACACACTGGGGACTAATCGGCCCTGACCAGGAAGTGAGCAAAGCTATGACACAAGATGTCTGCAACTCCCACTCGAGGACAGGGACCTCACCCCATGTTGCGAAAAGTAACGGCGTCGAGTCCTCATTGTACACCTGTACACTGGTTTAGTTGAATGGCTCAAATTAAACAAATATAGATTTCATATATACAAATATTATATCATGTATAGGTATAGTATATCTATTTTTAAAAGGTTAAAATTTTTTTTTCTTTTAAACTCTGACTCTGCATGCACGGCCCAAATCTGGTTCTCACTCCTGAATCCCAAAGTGTCAACAGGCTTCCCGTGCCTTCCCTGTCTGCCTCCAGAAGCGACGGGAGCCTCAGGAGAGGGGCTGCGCCTAGGCTAGTGCTGGGGGAGGGCCTGCTGGGGGTCACCCTTCATCCAGCAGGCTCCAGGGCCCCATTCCTGGGGAGCCGGGTGCCCTCAGGGACAGGCCTGAATGTTGCTAGCATTCTGCTTTGTTGGGGACAGTAGCCTAGCAAGTTCTCCCGAGGCCCTCCAGAAACGGTCAAGAGTTCTCGAGACTTGAGAAGCATCGAACCATGAAGGAGTGAAGGGAGCCGTTAACTTACACGTTGGGAGTTCAGGAAGAAATAACCATCGGGGAAAATGACTCCAGAACAAATTTTGTTTTAGGCCATTTCATCTCGGAGCCCTGTGACTACGGGTGACCACCGGCCTGCCCTGCCCTGCCCTGCCACCCCGAGCTGCAGCTATCAGAAGTCAAGGTCAGTGGCCAGGACTGCTGGGATTCTAGCCCCCCAGCCAGTCTCCTCTCTGCCAACCACCGAGGCCCCTAACCTGCCCCATCTCCCCGCTCCCCAGGGCCTCTGACCAGCCAGCCCTCGGGTGGAGAGAGGCGGACACTGCTCAGCATGGAGGCTGAAGTGGAACAGAAATAGGCACAGAGTCAAAAGGCAAAGATCCAGCAACAGGCCAGCGTCACCACCCGAGAGGAACGAACAGGAAGATCTGCACCAACGAGGCCGGAGGTCGCAGCTGCCTGCCTGGCTCCAGCCTCACCCGGCAGCGACAGGAAGGGCCGACAGAAGGGGCTTGTCAAGCTCAGGGACGCTGCTCCTGGCGGCGTGTTTCTGGGTGCCCCGTAGGTATGTACACGCGCAGCGGGGGCGCACTGCCGACCACTCAGAGCGCTGTGCTCTCCGACTCCTCCTCCGAGTCCCTCTTGTCCGTCACCGAGTGTCGCCGTGCGTGCTCCAGGGGGCTGAGGCGGAGTGTGGACCCCAGTTCGATGTGGATGGAGGGGATCTCGAAGTGGACAGGATCTGCAAGTGGGGGCGGGTGGAGAGCGCGTTAGCTGACTGGGGGGGCTTCCGGCTCACAAGGGGCCGGGGGAGCAGGCAGGTGCAGTCAGCGTGAGGAAGCAGGGGGCTTTGGTTGTTCCAGCGGCAGCCGGCCGAGAGACGGGCCCGGGGCTGTGGCTGCGCTCTGAGCTCGTGTCCACCTGGGAGGCCGGGGGGCCTCGCTGTCCTAGACTGGATGAGGGTGCTGTGGGGCAGGGCTCAGGGACTCTGCCGGAGTTCTGCAGCTGCTTGCGCTCTCAGGTCTGCCCCGGCGAGGCAGTGAAGAGCCCCTCTCCTCCCTGCGACTAAACAGGGGGGACCCCCAAGAACAGCTAGGCCAAGGGCAGCCTGGGAGTAGCTGGGTGGCCTGAAAGGTCATTCCTTCAGGGGAAGAAGTTGGGGAGACGCCTGCCAAGTCACAGGGCTCTGTGGAGACATCTGGGCAGTGGCCAAGAGGACAGAGGCCCCCCCCCCGCCAGCACCTTGGGGATGCGAGGCACCCCCCGTACAGCGCACAGTGCAGCAAATGGTGAGGCCAGCCTCGCCGACTCCTGCAACTGTGGGCAGCAGAGTTGTGCTGGGCCCTGCTACTCCCACCCTTGCCCTTGACCTTCTGAGCGCTGCTGACCCTCACTGAGCCCAGCCTGCTGACCTCAGAGGACGTGAGCCTGGCAGGGCAGCGGCTCCGGGCCACTCTCGGGAGCCAGGGCTTTTAGGGGAGACAGAGGTTCACGCTGCATGTACAGACACATGTGGACACTGCCCCCAAAGACACTCCACAGACACCGACATGCCGGCACGTAGGGCCACCTCCCTCGTCTCCCTCCCCCTAGCCCCATGTGGTCCTCACGGCGCTCCTGCAGCCGGCTCTGATCCACCTGAGCCAGGAGCAGAGATCTTGGGGTGAGGGGACAGGGTGACCGGGCTGGGTGCATCAGGTCACACTTAGAGCCAGCCACCCAGTGTGAAGCCTGGCTTTGCTGTCCGAGGAGAGGACCAGCTGTACCATCAGGAGTCACTGTCCTGGCCCTGTCACAGAGCAAGGCTGTGGCCTCGGGCGAGTCTCCATCCTCCCCTGCACCTCGGCAGTCAGATGAGAAGCAGAGGGGTGAGGCTCAGCTTGGCCAGAGCAGCGCATGCCAGCCACTGAGCCCAGAGAGGTGCCTGGCCCTTTCTTTCCCAGGACTTCCAGGCAGCTGGAGTTCTGTAAGGAGCCCTGTCTACCCCCCAAGTCTCTGGACAAGTACAGGGGGCTCCCTGCTGGACTGGGGCTCCCTCTTGTCATGGAGGCCAGTGCATCCCTCTGCTGCCTGCTTCGATGCATCTCCTCATGGGAGGAGGGGACCACAGCATCTTACTGACTTGGATGGGAATGAGCTGGCCGTCCGTCCACACAGGGACAGGGCGTGAGGGGAGCTTGGTGGGAGTTGTAACACTCCAAGTCCCTGTGGGTTTGCCAGGCTGGCTCAGCCTGGAGCCAGAATGCTGCTGGGGTGGCCAAAGACAGTGGGTGCTCCAGCACCCTCCAAGTACTAGGGCCGCTAGTGGACGAGCCGAGTGTGGGTGCCGGCTTTCCTTCTCATGGAAAGCAAGGAAAAGGCCAGTGAGTCCCGCAAAGCGCCGAGTAAAAGAGAGGCGGCCATGCGGGTGGTCCATGTCACATGCAGAGTCGGGGCAGGGGAGGGAGGGCGGCCAAGGACGGCTGGCTGGCCTGGCTAGGCCGGCTGTGGGGGCAGCAGGGGCCGGCTTACCCTGAAACTCCCCCTCACACGTATCCAATACCGCGCCACTCACGTCACACGGCTGCAAGAACACAATGACAGGGTTCGGAGAAGGCACAGACAGGACGCAACAGCAACGGCACAGAAACACTGCGCCCAGCGGCACTCTCCCTGGCGGCCACGGGGGGGCGCAGCACACACCCCGCACCTGCTCTGTGCACACACATGACGAAAGCCTGCTGCTCCACGACGATGGCGACACAACGGGAGCCGGGGCGCGCGGGGTCGGTAGTTATAACCCCCCCAGCGTCGCCTTCCAGGGAACTAGCATCCACTCCAGCTCCCAGATCTGACTGCTGTCCACCCGAGTGCTCCCTCTGGGGTCCAAGGCATGCACTCCCCCTGCAGGGCCCTGCCCCAGTGGGGCCGAGACACCGGGCAGGTGGACGATGGGAACTCCTGAGCCATCCCAGTCACCAAGTGGCACAATACAGGGCAGTGGACCCCTTCGTTTTAAATGCAGCTGTCTCAGTGTAGGAGACGGCAGCCGCAAGGCCGCCACACACTGACCATATCTAGCAGGAAGGCAGCCTGGTCACCTGTTGGTTCCTGCGTCACAGCAAATGCCTGCAGACCCCGGGGAGTCCCCACAGGCTCAGGGCTCCCCTCGAAGGGAGCATGACGTGGACAGGGCGAGAGCCCAGGTCCGTGAGAAACGACAGTACATCCCAGGACCCAGGGCGTGTGTCCATGCGCGGGATGACAGCGAGGGACGGATGGCTGCCTCACTCGTTGCTCCCGACAACAACACTCAGACACCCGTGCCCAGGCGCTCTGCCCCATGCTGGAACGCACGGGTGCCACCTGCCATGATGGAGCCCAGCACGCCTTTCCTGTCTTCTCTGAGCAAGGGAGATGCTACTGTGACTTGGCAGCCACCATGAACATGCCCCTGAGCGAGCTGCGTCCTGGGGAGCATCCCAGAAAGCTCACCTGCCTGTGACATCAGGGGTCAGAAGCAGCTCTGCTGCCTCCTGAGGACAATGACCCTGGGCCAGCGGGCACGGGCGGCAGCCAGCCCACGGGACTCCAGGGCTGCCGGCTGCCTTGGGGGCGCAGGGGCTCGTGTCAGTGGGCAGTGAGCCTGACGCTCCCACCCGGCTGGGGTGAGCTTACCTGTGGACATGCTTTCCCCGGGGGACACGCCATCCAGCATGGGGTGCTCCGTGGCCTGTGGACTCGATGCCGAGAGGCTGGCTGTGGGAGGCTGAGGCGGCGGCAGAGTGGGCCTCTGTCGGGGCTTCGGGGTGGGCCGGGACTTGGATAAAGTGCTCGTGAAGACAGAAGGAGAGGCCAGTGGGGGAGCCGCAGCTGGGGACAGCTGGCCTGAGGCTAAGGAGTAGCCCTGAGGGTAACTCAGTCCATAGGGTGATGGGGTGCTTGGCGGGGTGGGAGACAGGCTGACTGGGGACGGCTGGCCGGCAGGCTGCTCTGTCACAGCCCCGGGTTGGCCGAAGGGAACCTTGGGTGGGATGGGCGCCAGCTTCTTGGAAACTGGAAGAGAAATGCCCACACAGTGGCGATGAGACACGAGACAGACTAAACCACGGCTGGTTCATGGGCAAAGCCCACTGGGTTCAGGGCTGCCTCCTGGCCCTTGCCAGACGGACAGTGACGATCCACGTTCTTAGGGATCATCCCGGAACTGCGGGTTTTCCTGTCTTCCCATCACCACCCCTCCTCCACGCACACACCCAGCCCAGGCAGAGAACACGTTTCTCGTCATCCACAAGGGCTGGGCTGACTTCTCAAGGTGAAAAGGCACCAAGCCAGGGCTCAGGAGGATGCCTCAAGTTCACGGTGCTCTAGTACAGCCCATACCGGAGGCAGGTTCTCCGGCCTGGGAAATGGACGGCCAGCTGTATCTGGCCCGCAGTGTCTGACCCCTCTAACAGGCGCTCCCCCATAGAAGCCTGGCACCTCCACGGTTCTGTCTCTGCCTGACAGGGCTTTTGTTTTGCTTTGTTTTCAAACCTGTAACCTCTGCCCGGATTGACACTTTGGTGTACCGGGGTTTAAACCACCACCTGCAGCAGTGGCATCCCAAATAGACACCGATTTAAGTCCCGAGTACTCCTAACTCCAGCTTCCTTCTAAGCAGGCAACAGAGGCACCATCATGAATAACCCGGAAGACGTTCCTGGCTCTGGCCTAGCATAGCCTTGCACCCTGCGGATAGCTGCGGTGGGGGAGGGGGACGGTGACCCCCATGGATGGGAGAGCCCTCTTTGTAATTCTTTAGAACAGATGCTAGAGGTAGGTCTGTGGGATGGTGTATGCTGTCCTAAATGACTCTTGCACCAGTGGGGCGTACACACCACAGTGCGTCCTTTTCTCAAGCCCGTGCAATGCCTCGCCATCTGATGACTGCCCACCACTCCATGCCCTGGGCTGCCCAGAGGACCTCAGCTTCTGGCCGTCCACACTGACAGAGGGACGCCACGTGGCCCCACGCACGCATGCACACACACGTACCTTTCCGTAGGGTGTGCGGACTCTGGTCTGCGGGCAGCTGGCTGGGGCTGCAGCTCGGTTGCGTCGCGGGCTGTGTCCCTGCACAGGCTGGCCCCTGGCTGGAGCCTGGGCTGCCTTTCTGCCCAGACCCTGGAGAGAGCTCCTTGCTTTTAGACGTGCTGCAACACAAGCACACGGGGCAAGGGGACGCTGAACTCGGTCACTGTTGGCAGCGATGGCTGATCATGTGTGTAGGATGGCAGTGGTGAAGACCAGCCGTGCGTTCACGCCTGTGTGTGCACTGCTGCTCATGGCTGCTAACGTGTCTGTGTGACACTGGTGATGGTCAAGGAGATTGTGTATGTTCACATTTACGCTGGGCCCAGTGTGATGGCACAATGGCTAAATCCCAAAGTCTGCGGGCATCCTCCTCTGTGGCGGCCGGAGGGCACACCACGCCCCTGCCAGCCAGCACCTGCTGGGTGAAGGCAGAGAGAAAAACCAAGAGCTTCCGCTTGTAACTCCCGCTTGCCACATCTCCCTCCTCTGATCACGCCCCCTCAAGGAAGACGGGGGCGGGGGCAGTCGCCGTCTCCTCCACTAGGACCCTGAGCCCAGTGTCTGCCGGCTCACTCACTACAACAGGGGCACCTCGAGGCAGTGACTTTTTCTCTTTGGAAAGAGAACAGTCCTGGTAAAGTTCACACAGCCAGCCAGGGAAGGAGCTTATTCTTGTTTTTTTTTTCCCCCCCTAAAAGTCTAAAGGCAAATGAAGCGGTAAGTGCAGGGTTGAGGAACACAACACATTTCTAGCCAGCTGTTGCCTTCCAGCCCTGGGGTGCCTGCCTTGGGTGCCAACCCAGGAAGCCACGGTTGCCAGCTCAGTTCATGCAGAAAACCAAGCATGGGTGTTTGGACATGAGTCACAGGAGGACCAAATCCAAGAGTCTCCCAGCTAGAGTGGCCCGGCTCGGCCCGGACTCCTCTGGCGCTGCAAACCAGCCTTTGTGCATGCGCTCACCTGGTGCGCTCGGCCCCGGGCTGCAGGCCCAGGCCAGAGGATGGCGACAGCGCGGGAGCCACGGGGCTCTCCAGGGGCTGCTCGAGCAGCGGGGACGGCAGAGGCGCAGCAAGTTCGGCGGGTGGGGCGGGCGGCTGCATGGTGGGCGGGGCGCAGGTCCCTTTCCGGCCAGCAGAGGAGCCTCTCCGGGCCACCCAAGAGGTGTCCATGACTCTCACGCCCATGCTGGCAAGGGATACAAAAGAACACGTGCTTAGTCCTCACACATGTGATGACAGGTGAACAGGCTCCCTCACCCATGAAGCGGAAACACTCAAGCAGGTCGGTATCAGGAGAACAGCAGCACAGCCGCAGCCGTAGCACCTTGCTGGGCCCCGGGGGCGGGAAGCGGCACGCACGCGCGCGCGTGCGCAACTTGGATGCAGTCTGGGCTGTGCTCCAAGGCGCAGTCTTTGGCGGCCCAGCAGCAAGGCCCCCCGTCTGCAGCAGCAGAGCCCTTGTAAGCTGTGCCTGCCCCTTCTGCGAAGCCAGCTGGCCTGTGGATACCAGCCCCCTTCCCAGCTCCCTGGGTACGGAGTCCAGAGAGCTGTCCCCAGCGCACCACGCGGCCGCACTGGGGGATGGGGGATGATGAGAGGGCGCCAGGGGGGACACCCTCTTTCCAAGTGCCAGGAGGAGGTAGGAGGGACAGGGACCAGGCAGCCTCAAAGGAAAATGCCTAACAGATCAGGAGGCGACCTCTCCATGGACACTCTTCTTTTTCTGTAATTGGAGGTCTGGTCACTCCAACAACTACCCCACCCCCACCCCGCGAACACCACCACCACCCAGCTCCAGCACTGCCCAGCATCCCTGGTCCAGTCACCACCTCTGCAGGCCACGCTCGCTCGTCTACACAGCCAGGAAGGACAGGGGAGGGGCTCTCATGCCTACAGTCCCTCCAGGCTCCAGGATCGTTTTCTATGAGGGGGTAGGGGGGCAACAGTGTGAAGTAAGCTGGCCAAGCAACTCAACAGGGCAGGCGCGCTTGCTCACGGTGCTGACTACGCACACACTGGCCAGGTCTGAGAGGCTGAACAGGGCCTGGGGGCCACCAGAGCATACCGTACCTTTGGATTTTCCTAAGGCTGCAAGGGACAGAAACACACAGATATTAGTGTCAACATGCCTGCGCCTCGCCTGGGCCATCCAGGTGGTCTTTTGGAGAGGGGCCTCCTAGCCAAGGGCAGGTCTAGGGCTGATGTGTTTACTGGGCCGTGGAGTCACTTCCATGCAGTCTCTCGCATGACAGCGACTGTGTGTGCATCTATGGATGTGACAATAACATCCTCCCAAGCACACAGATGAACGTGGGCGTAGGACAGAGGGAGAGGGAACTGGGCGAGACAGAAGTACATACAAGTCGCCACGTGCCACTTCTGTATTTTGTTCCATTGAGAGTCCCTTTTCTTCTGGCCCGGGAGGGGGCTGATCCCACGTCTCTAAGGTTCACGGCTTCTGATAACAAACATTCTCCTGCCCCATCGGGAGTGGGTGCTCACACAGGAAGAAAAACAGAAGGGCATTTCCAAAAGTTGACGGAACAACTGGCATGGCATACGGGCATCCCATATGAGCACTGATTCCAGCTCCGGCTACTCCACTTCTGACCCAACTCCCTGCCCAGGCACCTGCAAAAGCAGCTGAAGATGCTTGGGCCCCTGCACACACGTGGGACACAGGTGTAAATTCAGGCTTCTGGCTCTGGCCTGGCCCAGCTCCACTGAGGCTATTTTGGGGGAGTAAACCAGCAGATGGAAGACTTCTCTCTCTCTTTCTCTCTCCTCATCTCTGTGTTACTTGGCCTTTCAAGTATTTGAAAGGTAGAATTAACAAAGAAAGAGACACACAGAGAAATAAATGTTCCATCTCTGGTTCACTCCCCCAATAGCTGCAATGGCTGGGGAGCGTCTTCCCAGTCTCGCAAGTGAGTACAGGGCCTCATGCGCTTGGGCCATCCTCTGGTGCTTCCCCAGAGGCATTAGTAGGGAGCTGGATTGCAAGCGGAGCAGCTGGGACTCAAACCACTGCCCATCTAGGATGCTAGTTCTGCAGGAAGTGACTTAATCGGCTAAGCCACGCCGACAGCCACAGTAAATCTATTTTTTTGTTTTTAAGATTTCTTTATATTTTTTAACTGGAAAGTCAGATATACAGAGAAGAGAAGAGACAGAAAGGAAGATCTTCCGCCTGATATTTCACTCCCCAAGTGGCCACAACGGCCGGAGCCGAGCTGATCTGAAGCCAGGAGCCAGGAACTTCTTCCAGGTCTCCCATGTGGGTGCAGGGTCCCACAGCTTTGGGCTGTCCTTGACTGCTTTCCCAGGCCACAAGCAGGGAGCTGGATGGGAAGTGGAGCTGCTGGGATTAGAATGAGCACCTATATGGGATCCAGGCGTGTGCACTAGGCTACAGCACTGGGCCCAGTAAATTTACTTTTAAGTTTATTTAAGTACAAAAACATTTAAGGATGTATGCTGTTTTTTTTTTTTTTAATACTATGTCTCTGTCATGGGCTTCTTATAGACCTTGTATCTGCATTACCAGCCAGCACTGGTCTCTATTACTCATATGCACAGCAGGTCAGGGTGTGAGATCTTTCACATGCTTACTGTCCCCTCTCTCTTACCAAACAGCCACCCACACTGGTCAGTAGCACAAAGCTCGTCCGCCCTGAAGGCCTGTCCATCCAAAAAGGGGTCACACTGTACCTTACACAGGGCAACAGGATGGAAAACCAAAATCAACACAAGTACACAGACTGGTTCCAGCAGCCGGGACCTGGGTGCTTTACCAGCACAGGCCTGGGTAGAGAGCCTACAGCGTGGGTCGCAGGGGGCAAGGCTCACACTGAGCACATATGGGCATGGGCCCAGCCTCCTATGATCGCCAGAGAGCATCTGGGTCTATTGGCACTCCTGCTATCTCTCATATTCCTCTGGGGAAGAAGGGGAGAGAGGGAGGTGGGAGAGAGGGAATTCTCTGTGCAGAGGCCACTGGCTCTCAGGTGAGCTTGGGTCTGAAAACCTGCCACCAACACACAGGTCCGTCTGCTCTGGTGCAGCCAGCGGTGCTCTTGGAGACCATTCAGGACTCTGGCCTAGAGCCCGGTCACGTGTCCTGGCATCCCACGTGGGCTGCAGGGTGTGAGCAGCCACACCGCCCTGCTCTTCCAGCTTCAGCGTGCATGAGGAAAAGAGCAGAACACCTTAGCGCTGTATCTGGGGAAGGGCACGGATGCAACTCAGGTGCAACGGGGAAGAAGACACGCGGGTTCCCGCGGTGAAAAGGGAGCGAGCCCCATCTCATCCTCTCTTGTAAGATCTCCCCCACTCAGAGGGATGCCTGGCCTTCTGGCTCTAGGAACCGCAGGCCGCCTGAAGCCACCTGGCCACCTTCTCCAGGAGCCAGCTCAAGCCTGCGGCAGGGCTAAGCGAAACCTGCAATGTCTCACTCACACGCAGAAGTCAGCCAACGCAAAAGGCAGGAGCGGAGGGGAACACCAGGAGCCTGCTGGGCTGAACACAATCACCACCTTGCAGCCTCAGTGGCTTCCGAGCAGGAGGCCGTGCGGCTTGCTCGGTGCATACCGAGCCACTGCCCGCTGACTTTCTCAAACAGAAGCGCCCACTTTTTATAGGCTGAGCTAACCAAGGGGTGGCAGCAGTGCCTTGTGGGGGGGGGGGCTAGAAATACCCCCAGAAGCAAATGGTCAAATGTCAGGATAAAGCTCCACCCAAAAAAACAGAATCTCTGCTTATGCTTTCGGCTCCCTGCTAGCGTGCTCAGGAAAGCAGGAGACAATGGGCCAGGAGACTGGACCTCTGCCATTGACATAGGAAACCAAGATGGCAGTTGCAGCCATCCTCCTGGTCCAGCCCGGGCTATGGCAGCCATGGCAATGAACTAACAGAAGGAAGATCAAGCACTCCTCCCCCTTTCTGTCATTCAAGAAAGAAAATTAAAGAATAAAATTGGTAAGGTGAGGATTCCCCCTGGTGGGGAAACCCAACCAGGTCTCCCAGCAGCAATCTGCCAGTTTCTGCTCACTGTTTTGTCGGATCATAAACATGCCACGGGGATCGGAATCAAAAGGCCTGCCGTGGGGAGCAGAGTGGAAGTGGAATTCATTGCAGGCACCTGCATGGGCACCAGAGGACAGTCTGCATGCCCGGGATCCCCCACAGCACCCAGGACTGGGGGCATCAACCCTGAGGTCTCCTGCTGCTCCCCGAGGGTAAAAGAGGCACTTGGACTGGGAATCCAGACTTGTCACCATTCACCCTTTGGAGGCACGCAGGGCAGGCCAGGTGACAGACAAGCCCCACTCGGGCAAAGCAGCCTGGGCGAAGGCCACCCTGCCTTCCCGCCTCCTCCCAGAGCTTGAAGCTTGCACAGGATGTATCCAAAGCCACACCCTGGCACTGCATGGGCAATGATCTGGGAGCAGGCTCTGGCATGATGCTCAGCCCTCGTCCTGCTCACTGATGCCCTGATGTGGCAGCAGAGCCTGCTCTGCACCTGCAGAGTAGAGCTGACACCTCCAGCACGCCCAGGATGGCCCATGACCAACTCCTGGGTGCTGAGACATATTCGGCACGCTCAGGCACCACCTCTGGGCAGCACCAACATACAGTGAGTCTATCAGGGGGACTGGCTGGCCAAAGGGTGACTTGTGGAGCTGACAAGCTAAATACCCAGAGAAACATAATCTCAGTGTGTGGAAGAGACAAGGGGCCAGCAGTTGATTACTGCGTGCTATGGTGACTTCACACGCTTTTCCTGGGTCGAGACCGATACTGCCCAGTTGCCCGCTGTCTATCCTCAGATGATCCGCCCTCTGTAAAGGGAAATGGTCCATCTCTCTGAAAGTGTTGCGAGAAACAAAGGGGATCACAAGGTCCACCAAGCCTCAGGCCCTATTAAGCGACCAGGAAGTTCATGTGGGAGCAGTCTCAACCTGAAAAACCCAAATCGGAATCTTCTAGGAACACTTCGGTGATGTCACACATGGAGCATTCCAGCCCTGACCTCAAGGGGGCGCGTAGACCAACAGCAGGCCTACAGCATCAGGGACACTGTGTGAGATGAGCCTTAGTTGAAGTGTGCAAGACAAGTGAACTCTGGATTTGGGACTCCTCCCCAAGGCGCCTCCTACGCAGGTGCAAAGGTTCCAAAATCCCAAA